AAGCCTATAGCAGCAGAACTATAGAGATAGATCAGGATAACCTGAGCCACTCTAACTAGAAGCTTTATCAAAAAGGAAAGTTTTAAGCCTATATTATGTTTTTCTGCAGCTCAAAGGAAAATTAAACAATATTTGTTGTTATTTCAATGTTTTATTTTTTAAAAAGTGGAAAAAAAACTGCAGATCTTTGTGCATTGAGACATAAAACCCAAAGATGGGAGCGTGGAGGATTCCTCTGCTGCTCTGCGTCTTTCAGGTCCATCATTGATCCAGGAACCCTGAGGCGGTCCCCTCTGGGTTTCCTGCCTATGGTTCCCGGTCCCTGCTGACCCAGTCGGGGTAGACTGGGTCCTCTTGGTTCCGGTTCTGTACCTGATGAACTCTTCTTTCCTGCAGGACTTCCTGTACACTTTGATCATTGCTGTGCTTTTCCTCATCTCCTCCATCGTGTTTGCATCCGATAACGGAGGAACGTCTGTGGAGAAAGCCTCCGTGGTGAGAATCCGTCCATCTCTCTCCGTCCATCACCCCCAACCCCCCGGTTTAACCCCCCCCTGTCTCCTCTGGCAGGCTTTTGGCTTCGTGGCGATGGTGCTGTTCTGCATTGACGTGGGCCTCTTCGTGAAGACCAGCGGTAACCCGTTTAGGAACAGCGAGGGCTCGCCCACCGCGAACGGCGGCCCAGCTCAACCAGAGGTGGAGAAACTGAACGGCGACGTCCCCGCAGAGTCCAACGGCGCGCAGTAGGCGCCCCCGTCTTCACCTTGTTGAATGTAGTGAAGCGTGACATCAGCTGCAGTCGATCCCGTTTTTTATTTCAGCCTTTGTTTCAACACCAGAGGGCGCTGTGCTCTAAAACCCTGTAGTTTCTGAGCACAGCGCCGCCGGTGATGCGTTTAAAAAAAAGAAATCTGAGACAGAAACCTTTTTTTTTTCTTTATTAAAATCACATTAGGAATCAAAGGACACTAAACCCATCAAACCACTAAACCTTTTTAATCCTTCACTGGGAACCAGACGTCTTACTGGTTCTCTTTCTGTCTGCTTTGCTTTTTTTAATATATTCACCGAAAACTGCCTTAAAATCATGATGATGTTTTAGAAACCTTTTCAGATCAGCAGGTTGTGCCATTTTCCTTCTTTTTTTTCTAGAAATATATCAAGCATGTATTTTCTGTAAAATGTCTTTTGTATATTTGTTCTTTTTTTCTTTTTAAATCTAAAGGATTTTTCTTTTTTTTAAATGAATCAGAACCACAAACTGTGCCTGAAATCAGAGGCGTGACCCGAATGGCGAAACGGTTCGGCTTTAAAAGAAGAGTCCGGTTTTCCTTCTGTGTCCAGCAGGCGGCGCTGCGGCGCATCCTGAGGGAAAAGCTGCAAAGCTTTTTAAACCTTTTCCTTCAGTCGGTCGTCTGTTAATCATGTCAGAGGTGGAAAAACGGTCGGTTGGTTTCCTGTTTTCCTCAGAATCTCTTTGTTTTCTCTCGGTTCTTCTGTTTTTATGCGCTTTGCTTCTCCTGGAGCCTCAGTTTGATGATGAAAAGCGATCGATGCTGTTACAGTTTTAATCTTCATGGTCCCTCGCCGGGATTTACCGGAACATTCGGTCCAGTCGGGTTAATGAGGGATTCTTACTTTGGAAAAGTGATCTAGAAATTCTTAAATAAAGTGTATTTACCTTTAATTTGAGTAGCTAAATTAGACAGGATTTTTACTCTTAAAATAAGACAATCTGATTGTTTTTTTTATTTTAAATCTAAATTGTCTTGTTCAATCGGCAAAATGTCTCTTTTATCTCCTCAAATGCACTTATTTTAAGAAAAAATGAGTTAGATTTTTTCCAGTGTAGAAACCAGACGGGTTTTTCTGTTTATATTCAGCCAGAAACGGTCCGGTTTTTATCAGCCGATCCTTATTGGTTTGTTTCTGCTCCTGTTTTATGGTTTTATGCCCAGAAATTCGGTCGGACTGCAAGTCAGAGAGGAGAGAACTTTTAGGACTTTGGTGCTGCAGATTTCAAACTGAAGATCATTCCAATGAGGCTTTAATCTGAACTTTTATTGACCTTTTGTTTTTGTGATAATCATGAACCTGTAAAAAAGCTTAATCTTAAATGTTTTCTGTCTCTGACCATCATTCAGGACCAAATGTGTCGGTTCCACGCTGAAGGTTTCGCTCTGAAGGTCTTTATGTCCTGCTTTTATTTTAATAAACATTTTTGACTTTATGTCTTTGCTCCGTCTCATCTTTCCTTCGTTTTAAATGTCTCCCTGTTGTTTCTTTTCTTTAAAGCCAACAGAATCGTTCCAGGAACCAGAGCTATGGCAGGCTGTTTCGACATTTAATAGCATAACTGAATTTGTAATACAGATGTCCCTAATTGCATTTCTTCCTACCTAACATCAACATTTCAGATCTCTAAAATAACATTCTTCCTTTCTAAAACTGAATTATGACAAGGATTAACTCTAATTTCACTTCTAAATGATATTTACTGCAGGTCATAATTACTATTTCAAATATCAAAAATATGTCAAAAATATCAACGACTTATTTTATAACTCGTTAAATTAGAATTCCAGGTATCTCAATTTTAATGCTTATCTAAAATTTAGTTTTAACATAAAACAGGCAGGTCCATTAGTCGCATTTCTATTATAGATTGCACTAAAGTCACAATAACAATACTCCTAATCAGAACTGTATTTTAGATTTCACTAATTAGATTTTTACCAGTACATTTCAGATATCTACTAATCTTTACTTATTTTAAAGTGGCCGTTTTAACATATATATGATAGTATTTCGGATATCTTTAATAGAATTCCTTCTATCTAAAATGAACATGTCAGATATTTGAAATAAAATTCTTAATGGGAAAAATGACGTCACTTTTCCCCATTCATGTGTATTGGGTCGTTACTTTCGGGTATTGGAAATGACATTACTTCTATCTGAAATAAACATTCTGGATTTCTAAAAATGAATTTCAGATCCGTAATCCGATTGTTACTGGTCATTAATATATATTCAGTCAAGCTAATAAATAAATATTTGAAAGTGTATTCCTATTTGTACAATTGTATTTTTGGCAGACCGAAATAAAATTTTTGTAAAATGTAATTTAGGATATTTTTATGTAGAGTTCTGACTAGGAAGAGTCTTATTTTAGAGATCAATAAATGGAACAATAGGGAGAACAACGCTTCTAATAAATGTCAAACCGGCTTTCCATAGTGTTTAAAGGGTCTGGTAGGTCCACGATGAGGCAGTGGTTTCTGCTTAAAGGTATACTATGCAACCGGTGTTGATTTTCCAGCGAGGCTCCCCCCAGAGGGCGAAAGTAAAAGTGCACTGTCGTAAATATGCTCAGCTGTTCTCCTGGTTTCTC